ATAGAACAACTATGGCAAAAGAAAGCAAAGATACTACCAATAGTGATAGGCTCCTTAGGTGCAATCCCAAAACATCTGGAGCACCACTTGAACAACATCAGCACTGACAAAATCACCATCAGTCAATTGCAAAAGGCACCCGTACTTGGAACATCTTACATCCTGCAGATGATACCTTTAACACCATCAAACAACATCTGCCTATCCCAGGTCCTTGGGAAGGACTTGATAGGTGGATAAAAATGCCAAATCCAGTCTAAACATCTGGCTGACTCTGTGACCAACAATAATAGTAATAATAATAATAATAGCAATTTCTTTCACTGCATCAGAGTACTATTTCTTCCATTTAAATTGGGGCACTTGCGTAATACCTCTCTCTCATAAACTAGCATGATTGAATGTTACCTGTTTTGATGCCTGACAGCAACTCTCTGCTAAGACATACTGTACTTCTAAGGCAAGTAATGTTTCCCAGTCATGTTTCTGGTACATTTTTAAACTTGCTTGGATGGCCATTAAGTTTAAAGGAAACTCATAAAGTTCTGGATGGTCTACAAGAAATATCTTAACCATATGGTCACAGGCATGCAATATTATACTCTGCTTCTAGTAATTATCATGCAGAAAATATTCCTTACCTTGTTTGGCATTTTATTGTGGACAGGAAAACACTGACAGGCATAATGTCACACAGCACTGGAGGCAGCTCTGGATTCAATAATGCCACTTGGAGCTGTGACCAGTTGACCAAGTGAGAGAGACCTAAGGCGAGCAACAAACAAACAAATAAAACTGCAAAGGTTTTTGAAGTAGAGAAGATTGTGTAGGACGAATACTGATACTCCTTTTCATAAAATGTACAAGGTATTACAAGTATATCACAGACTATATTGCTGAGGCTTTCAACCCTTGAATAAGGAAACTTATATTAAGATATGCAATATGTTCCTTTCTCTTTTAGCTGTTTCCTCATTGTGTAACTTCTTTATGGCAACTTCTTGGTACCTGCTAGACAAGTTGCCCCTATTTTCCTTTAGTTTGCATAATTATAGAGCACATGGCTTGCTGTTTCTCAGGACCAGTATTTCTATTTACACACTAGGAATAGTACTTTGAAAACAAGAAGATTGTGCAGCCTGAGAACAAAAGATCTGTGATTTTGTTTTCATGTTTAGACACAAACTTCTCTAATCTTTTTTTATTGCAGGAATCTCAGCCAGTACAGCCAAGGATCCAGCACTTTCATAAAAATGACAAAAACAGTGTCATACTGTTGCAACCCAAACTCCGCCCATTTTGTATGTGCATGTGAGGTCACAAGATCCATACAAAAGAAGTGGAGTTTGTGATGCATCACTATAATGCTGTTTTCTTCATTTCCCTTCCTCCCTTGATCTTCGTTTGAGCACCTCTGTATCTTGGAGATTTTTAACATCAGTCTAGACAAGTGAAAAAGTAATGTTCCTCAACTGATTCTGAATAATCAACTCAGCATGAACAAAAATACTGGAAAAATCAGCTTCCTGTTTGGCAAAGAAATACTAGGCCAATTCTAAGATAATCTCACCCTACATTGTATGAAGGTGCTGTTTATCTAAAAAAATACCCAGCAGTTGGAACAGGTATACAAATGTACCATCGAAGTTTATTGTGATCCAGGTTCCACCACCAAGGCTGCCAGCTTTTGGTTCCATGATGAACTTTGCCAAGGTAACTAAAAACAAAGAAAACATCATCCATTATATAACGGCAGAGACAGACACTTTTCTGATGAACAGATTTATAGAGGTAGTCCTCGCTTAATGATGGTAATTGGGACAGGAATTTCCATTGCTAAGTGATATAGTTGTAAAGTGTGGCATCTTGTGATTGCATTGCCTAGTGACGGCAATCCTGGCAGTCCCTGTTTCTGTCATTAAGCGAGATTGCAGGTCATTAAGCGAGGACTTCCTTGGTTAGGCCGGGAGAGTAAGTAAGTAGCTGCTGTGGTGTAGCACAAGTGCAGTGGGGCTACAGGTGGCTGCCACCAGGCAGAGGTGGGTGCAGGGGGGCACCACAGCATGACATGAGCATTGTGGGGCTGGGGGTGGCTGCAATTACCATTTATTTCTTTTATATGTGCCTTGCTTTATTTTATTATTCACATCAAAGGAATCCATATTAGATTTGCCCTTGCTAGATAGGATCAAATAGACAGGCATAGTCCTGTAATGAATATGTTATCTAATGATGTTGCTTCATAATGTAGTTTCATAAAACTTACCTGCAAAAAAAAGCAGCAAAGCCTTGAAAAAGAATGACATTAAAAAATCCATCTTTATCCTCCTATCAATTTGAGACTTCCTGTAGAGATTGCTGCATCATAAATGATCAAAGCTCAGCAGTTTCTCCCACTTTTCCCTGCAAGAGAAGCACACTCTACGTTCCTTTATTCACATTAGATCCCTTTGCAGCATACAGGTAGATGCCCAGTAGACATTTTAACACCAAATCAGAATAGTAATATAAAACCAGAAAAAAATCTGTCAAAGAGACATTTCTTCTCATATCTTTGAATCAAAGGCATAGGAGGTAGATCTGAGAAGACACAGAGGCATTCAACTTCCGTGCAGGTATGTATGCTCATCATGCTATTCCCTTTTGGGATAAGCAACTTTGTGCAGAGCACAGAAAAGGAATATGAAATAGCGAGCCAAACAAATTAAAGGCTGAGTTAAGAAAAGGAAAAGGAAACACAGCTAAATCTAGTTTACACCAATGCTTTTCACTATACCTCTCCATATTTTTCTACCTGTGCAAACCACCTTTACTTCTACCACGCCATAGACAGCTTCACACATTGCCTTTAGTTCTTAAAACTTTTCACCCTCCCCTTCCATCCAACCTCAGCTCACATATTCCATCTATATGACCACACCACCTCAACATGCTGCTGTCACTGACTTTCATATTAAGTCCTCATTCATTCAGCACCCATTCATTCTTGACCCTATCTCTACTTGTTTTAGCACACAGATTTCCATTTGCATTGCATTCAACATACTTCTATGTGTCTCCTGACACACCTGACTCTCTCAGTTTCATAGAACAAAGGGGCAAAGGATATTCTTATATACAGCCATTTTTGCTTTCCTCACAATATATTACAGTTTCTCTTTTTACCAGCATTTTCATGTCTTCAAAAGCTTCCATTCACTTTCCCGTCTTTAGACATGCTAACATGCTAACAAACATGCTAACAAAATGCACAAATACATCTACTTGCTCTATCTTTTTTCCTTTTGACACTGACACATAACTTGCAGTCTTTCACTCCATTTTTTCTGTCAAATACAACAACCTTAGTCTTCAATACATCACTTTTCAACTCCATACTTCCCATTGTACCATAGAATCTATCTAACACTTACTGAAAATCATTTGGTTTCACAGTCAACCACACAGCATCATCTGCATACAAAATCACATGCATACTCATGTCTCAACCTTTAACAACACCACACAAATTCATTCATAAATAGAGTAAGCAACCAACCCTTTCCTTCAGTTCTTTATGTCAACTTTCTATTCATTCCATTTGGAAATTTTCTATTACTATTCTCTAATACTGTTTCCTACATGTCTCATACTTTCTCTTCCTGTGTTTGTTCTACTTTCTTTTTTCTTTCACTTCCTCCTTTTTCTTCCATATCCATTTTTCCTAAGTTCCAGTCTTGGCACTGCCAAATAACAGTCTGTCCAATGTTCAACATTTCCCATTACCCTTCTAACCTTCACTAATTCTCTCAATCTTTCACCATAAGCAATCAAATCAATCATGTCTTTAGATTTATATCTATTCCTCTGCCATGTGTACATATGAATAAACTTATGCTTAAACCCACATATTTAAAAAGAAGAAACCTTTTAAAATGAACACTTGCCAAAAGGTCTTCATTTCTGGGTCTGCAAATAACCCACTCACTTTTGGTATATTCTCTCATCTCATTACCACTCATCTATTGATGTCATCTAGACGAATAATTATTTCCCTTACATGATATGCAAGATGTTGCACAATTTTCCCAAAACTCATTCACTCAACAACATCAAACTATCTTCATTCAGATCTATTACATCCTTCCCCTTTCTCTTATTTTCATAGACAGACAATATAACTATTTTTTTTTTCCACTGGTAAAGTCATGTTCTTTACCATTTATTCTTCATATATTCCACATCTCAGTCTTCAATTGGCCATGGTCATCACAGATGGGCTCATAGATGTTGACCTCCACCACTAATCAGGGCTTCACTCAATTGAGGCTTTCACAGAGTATTTAAGATGTAACTAGGTTACCAATCCCACCTGTGCCACGCGCAGCATTCCACATTGATGGTAAGGATAGTACCAGTCACTTATGTCACGTTATGGCCAGTATGCCACAAACACATATAGTTTTTCTTTCCCCTCAGGCAACGTCCCACCATTCTATGTCTCTCTAATCTAGAGCATAACATACAAGACAACACATAGTTGCTCTCATCCAACCAGCTAGAAGGTACATGCAGTGTACTGAGACAGACTCAGGATGCAGAGAAGTTTTGAATATAATTTAAAGCATCTCTCTTCCATAAGAAGATAATCTGAGATTTCAGGCAGATTTTCAGTTTCTGTTTGAACTAGTGGTGCTTATCTATAAAGGCATTAATAGCTTGGAGCCCTGCTGCCTAAATAAATTGTGATAGCTATATTAATCTGCCTACATACTGAGTCCATCTATTAATGTCATTTTCTGTGTCCCACCCTCAGAAACTAGGTGCTATGCACTCCAATAGTAAAACTCCCCCCACAAAGACTTAATAAAGTGGCTTATTAATTGTTATCCTTCTGGAAACAGCTACATTGGTTGATTTTAACAAAGCACTCTGTAGATTTAATGGATTTGTTTAATTTTACTGTCACCGTAAACAGGTCTGAAATCCAGTTCTATATGGCAATATACACATTTTGAGAGAGAGGGAGGAGGAAAGAGAATAGACAGATGATTTCTTGTCAGAAACCATCTAAACAGCTCTTCAGAACAAACAGAATTTGGATGTCCTTGAACATTTAATGGAAGCATCATTAAAAATAACTTTAAAATATATTGGGGTGAGAGGAACTGGAGTAGGTTTGAGAAATATTTTAGAATACAATGTTGCATAAGAGTTATTACATGAAAGTTAGCATGAACATGCTGAGCAAAAGAAATGAAGTAATTATTAAAGTTTTGGATGTTGTACTGTCAAGCAGTTAGAAAGAATGCAAATGTAAAATTACTGTCCAAACAAAAAAATGAACTGTCACTGCCATTGTGGACAGCATGTTACATCAAACCAGTTTTAAAATGGAATAGTGTGGGGGGGGGAGCTAAGATAGATAGATAGATAGATAGATAGATAGATAGATAGATAGATAGATAGATAGATAGATAATAGATGATGAAGAGGGAGGGAGGGAGAGAGAGAGAGATTTCACATAAGGAAAAAAAATAACTGTACAAAAGTGTATAAAACTATGAATAGTTTGGAGAATGTGGATATTAGAACTTCTCCTCCCCTTTGTTTAATAGTACTAGAACTTGGGGGCAACCCAGTGAAACTGATTGGCATCCAGTTCAGGATAGGCAGAATGAGTACATAATCCATATATAAAATCCTTGTCACCAAGATGTGCTGATGGCCACAGACTCAGATAGTTTCACTATAGGATGAGACCAATTCATGGAGGATAGCTCTACGAATGCATATTTACCTATGTGGAACATGGAATTCGAGGTTTAGAGGTATTAGATACTAGGTAATAATAGGAGCCATGAGATTTTGCTTTGAAGATTTGCTGATGGCTTTCTGAAAGTAGTTTGTAATTGTGGTGGGAAATAGAGGGATCTTTGGCCTGATCCAGCAGGAGTTTTAATTGAACGCACCTAGAAATATAATTCCATAAAAAGGCATGTGTTAAGGGCCCCATTTCTTGGTTATATTAACATCTATAGTTATAATTTTTCTCAGCTGCTATATATATTCATTTTTTCTATTGTGTATGTACTTGGTTTTAACTGATTTTATGATTGTTCACTGCCCAGAGTTATTTGTTTGACATGGGCAGCCATAAAAAATAAATAAATAAATAAATAAATAAATAAATAAATAAATAAATAAATACATACATACAT